CCACTGCCAATAAAAACCAGAGCAAGGAAATGTGAAGCTAGATGTTGCAAGAGCCAGAAGCTGCGAGGATTGGAACACACTGCTGTGGAAGAGGCAGGTACACCATAAAAAACCCAAAACCCAAACTGTCAAGTCATCAGTGCCCTGACAGAACCCATGCAATGCCATACTGCTGTGAAAGAAGGAGATCACCCACTCAATTTGCAAACAAATACACTTCTGTCAGCCTCGAAAAAAGCAAAAAGTCATCAAAAGTTCATCAAAACCTCTCAAACCACCATTTCGGGCTCAAAAATATCAAAAAGTCATCAAAAGTTCATCAAAAGTTCATCAAAAATGTAATGGAGCTGATGTAAAACTACATTTGCTGGAGATATATCTTCACAATTGTCAATTTAGAACACAATTGCTGTTGCACTTTCAATCTGTTCATGCGCGCATGTGCGCGCGCGCTCGCGCGCGTATCCGAAAGAGAACATTCATTGATGTGTGCATCTGGACAGAGAAGAGCTGCAACAGTTCTGCACTTTTGAAACTGCAGTCTGAGCCTGACAGCTCCCAAGACAATTTGCCAACATGCATCCGGGTTAGACAGTCTGAACTAGGCTTGGCTGCTTAGGACACGGCGACGAAGAGCTTCTGGGTGTCCAGGTCGGAAGAAGCCTGCAGGACAATTGCACTAATGTACCTTGAAGGAGAGCTGCACCATTCCAGATTATGCTCTTTGCACTGACACTGTTTAGTCAGGCAAAGTCCAACTGGATGACTGCCCATACTGTTTCCTCTTGTGATCCTCTGATGGTTTTTGGAGCAAACTCAACAGCACCATCAGGTTCTCTAGAGGAACTGACAACATGTGAAACAAACCCAGAGGTCCACACCACCAATCTTGCAGGACTTGAAGAGACAGCAGATCAAATGCTCCAGGGGCTCTAATAAGAATATATGAATCAAACACGACAGTCGTGAGTTCTGGGCCCCGGCCAAGTGCTCTTCTCAAGCTGGTTCGCCTCAGACCACAGCAGGAGCTAAAGCAGAGTAAATGTTGCTGAAGTCTTTCCACAATTGGGGAGTGTAACACAATTGCCAAACTGGGGGACTTCGTTTTCCAGACTTGTCAGTCCCAGTCAGTGAAACTCAATTGTCATTCAATTGTCTTTGTTCTCTTGGTCCCTCAGGGCCTGGTCCATCCAGCCTTGCCAACTCAGTCGTCTGCGTTCTTCCCGGTCCTCCACAAAGATCCACCATCCATCTCTCTCATCCACACTGTCAGGATCTGTGTCAGGCTCTTCCTGCGGAATTTCTGCAGGAAAAACACGCCGACCGCGCGTCCCAGGAATATACAGAATCTGATGGGTCGGGCGGGTCATGGACCAGTGCTCGTTCCGATGGAAATAGCTGCGACGACTTGCGTGGATGACATATTGATGGTACTGTGCCCCGTACTCCTGTGCTTCGTCCCACAAGTTGCTCTGGAGCACAACATAGCCGTCGGCTCTTTCCAGGCTCTGAACATAATCGATATTCCTCTGAGAGTGAACTAATGTCCTGAGGCAGTGCCGCATCCATCTCCTGACCAGCTCCGGTTGACTCATGACCCAGCATCTGCGAGCACGACGGCAAGTTGTCCGGGAATTGCAAAGGCAGTCCACAGTGAGCAACTCGTGAGTCATATGAAGCCAAAAGTGACCATCTTGCAAATTCACTAGATAGTGTACCAACCTTGCACCCACTTGTGGGTTCATATCATGGCGGTCAAAGCGGGTGATTCGCCATCGCACTGGTTGTCACGGTAGCTGCTGCCTCCAGACAGGACGATTGACAAAATAATGCAAAACATGATCGATCAATATGGGGCGTTCCTGTGGCAAAATTGGCTGCTGGGTTGCCCTGAGTCGTCTCATGCGCTCCTCCTCCCAGCCGGACAAAACGTAACCATTGAGATTCGCCCTGTTTGGACGCGGGTTTCTGAATCTGAGCGGTGTCTCCGGCGAGTCGGATCGGTTGGACTCGGACCACGGGGGTGGGCTTCGAGGGCTGCTGGGTGTTCTGCTCCTGGAAAAGCGACGCCAATTCCAAGTTAGCGGCGGCGGCAAGGGCGAATTGCTCCGGCTACGGCCCCTTTGCATGATGAATGATGCTGTTCCCTTGAAACTGTCCAGCCCATTGTCACTGGAGCTATCCGCTGACTCAATCAACGAATGAGTTGCTACTGTTCAAGATCCTTCCTTGCTCCAGATGTAGAACCTTCCAGTTTTCAGCAAGTGCTTAGACTTGCTGCACAATTGATCAGAGACACAATTGAGACACAATTCATGGAGACACAATTCATTTCCACAAGCATCAGTGGACAAAGGACAATTTCGGCATAGCTCAGGTTTCCAACAGCTTTTTCCCCCAATCGAAACTTGCTGGAATCTTCTGGAACCTGCAATTGCAGCTAGTGATCTGCAAATGGCAGAATTACTAATTCAAATTTGTCCTGTGCGAATCACATCGGTGAAACATCAGTGCTTGACCGGCAACTGGCTTTTGCAGGTTGCAGATTCCTCTGACACACTGCCTTTGGACTCCGCCAAAACCACATCATCACATTTGCAGTCTTGCGAGATCATCTCCAAGCGCTTGTAGTCCCATGCCGGCAGGTAGCTTTCAAAGTGGAACAGCATGCAGCTGAGGCACCTTTTTTCGTCCACATAGCACTGAAGGGATTCCACATAGCCCTCCTTCTTGGGATTCGACATGATCGTCAATCAAAATTAAGACCAAATTGATCTTGGGGGAAAATGGCTGCAGCTGAAGCAAGACAATTCTAACAGCAGGCAAACTAACTTTCCAAGACTGGATGTAAGAGCCTTTCACTCAAGACTGAGGCGGCCGCATGGTGATGGTTCTCTTTGTGGCAAACAAGCTGACAGAATTGAAGAATTGTTCATTTCTTGGGTTGGGTTTCAACCGCAACATGTGCCATGCCAGTTGCCCACTCGTGCACTGACACAGATTTGTCAGGCAGAGTTTCACTGGATGACTTTGCTGTGCCCATGACACTGTTTCCTTTTGCACTCTGATGGTTCATAGAGTTGTACAGCACCATCAGGTTTCTGTAAGGAATCTGCAAGTCAAGCAAACTCTCAATTGTGTACAAAACTGTCACTCAATTGTGCACGAAACTGTCATCACAATCAATCAATTGTGTGTTTTGAGTCACAGAGGCAGAGGTAGGCGCATTGTGAGTGTCACTGACCTAATTGGCAAAAGGACTCGACACCGATTTGAGGAGTCAGAGTTTCAGGCCGGATCGTGCTCGTTCTCAGATTCAGAGGACTGTTCCAACAGCATGTTTAAGAAATCGTTCTCTTCGTCTGATGTTTCGTCACACAATTCATGTCTGTGCATTGGCTCATCATCACTCATTGCATGGGCTTCGTCTTCGTCGTCATCCTCTACATCCTCATCTTCGGGAACTTTGTCTTCCTCTGGGTCTTCAACCTCTATGTGAAAAGCGGAGGATTCCACTCAACTCTCGGTCACAAAGCCCAAGGCAACCAATCGTACATCAAAGCAAAGCAGCGGAGCAATGCAGGACAATCAGAGATTAAAACCGTAAGTTTGACGCTCAGCGGAAAGGAAACACCAACACTACCCTAAGTGAAGGCGGGCCTTTTGCTGGACCTGACGCAAAGTCGGTCTTGAGCAGTCAAGCTGCGTAAGTGAGACAAAGTTGGCAAGAGTCCTAACCAGGATGCAGACGCACATGTGCACATGTCCGTGACAAATCACACCCCCCTCGACGCGAGCTCACGCGTGAGAAGAGCGGAGTTTAGGAAAGTCACGTACACTGATTGTGCACCGAGCCACACCTCTTCAGGTCAGCGAAGCTTAAAGCATTTAAGAACCATTAGATGTGGGTCGGTCTCTGCAACTGGATCGTACCTATGTTTCACTTCTGTACACACGCAGCCTTGTTGCGATCGTTAGGCGCATAGCGAACTGCCGTGTGATCGGTGGCAGTCGGATGTTCCATCGGATCTAAGCGGGGGTAATACACTAGACCCAACGCGCTCAGAGCATAGACTCGGCAGCATCGAGTGTCTGTGAAAAGAGAGGGACACACGAGGAAAATACCATGGCAAGCCATTGTACCCCTGTGGGTCTTCTCAGCGTGGCACAGGCAAGGAATGCTGAGGAAGTAGCGGAAATTGTGTCATAGCTGGGCTTCACCATCAGAATCTGCCTGACCCCCGACACACTTGGTTAATGGTCAGAAAGACTCAACCGGATTCACCGAACAGTGACACAATGCGTCGCTACACATGTCGGACGGTCGTTACCTACGAGCAGTGGGGCTACGGGTACGGTCCTTATTTCCTCGTCCAGGACCGCCCCGACCTTTGCTACTCTTATCGCCCTTTCCTCGGCCTTTCTCCTGCTTTCCTTTTCCCTTTTCGGCTTTTCCTTTGCCTTTGCCTTTTGTCGGTTGCCTCACTGCATCGGGTTCATCGATGAGGCCACTGACATCGGAGCCGGATCGGGATTTGCCCTTGGCCGTTGTTTCCTTGGCCGGGCCCATAGTGCGAGATCGTGGCTCAGCAGAAGCAGTATCGGAAGCAGCCGGCGATGGCGCTGCAGCATCACTCTCTGCTGTGCGCTTTTGCGTTCGGCCACGTGCCTCCGCACTCGTGATCACGCGGGCAGGCGCCGGTCGCGCAATCGATGGCGTCCATCTTTCACTGCGGGGCGCCTTTTCAGGTGGGTTCGACGCCGTTCTGATCGTTGGCGCAGGGAACTTGGGGTTGATCCGTTCCTGGGTGGTGGCAGAGGTGCCTCCAAGCGAATCTGCTCTCCCTGTGTTCACATCTTCTGCATACGAGATGTTCACATTGGCCGCTTTCATATTGGCGTCATCATCAGGATTGGCGCCCATCGCAATAATGATGTTTGCAGCTCTCTTCCTGACGACAGGGAGCGTATGCGGCACGTGGTACATGCGAATGAGATTCTCAATCGTCGGGTTGTCCATATCCGATTCCGGAACCCTTGTCTTCATTCATTCGCAACACCATGGGCAACTTCATCTGATCGGAGTAAGCTGCCCTTCCCGAGACCCTCAGCGTTTCCCCGTCAGGGTGAGCTGCGCTGTAGCCCGTTTGCCGCTGCGTCTTCCGACTCGGTGGATTGGACGGCGGTGGCATCTCACGCGGTGCGGGTGGCGGTGCTTCAGGGGCAATGCCACCCAAATGCTCTCGCCCTGCACGCGGAATCGCAGGTGCTGGGCGGACCACCCTGTCCAGCTCACTGTCATCTTCATCTTCGTCCTCCGTAGGCACGGGGATGGTGTGAGCTTCTGGTATCGTCGCTTCCCTTTGCGCGGTGGTCTGCACACGACGCTGAGGTGTTTCTTCGCGCCGCCTTCTCTGTCGACCTGCAACGTCAAACAGATTATGAGGCTCCTCCAACTCATCTGGCAGAGCCTCGAAGATGTCAGGCGTCACCTTCATCGAGACTGGATCAGTGCTCTTGGCATCCGGGAGCTGATCCTTCGCCTTCGACAAGACCGAAGAATGTCTTCTCAATGTCTTTGTCTTCATCGAGAATCTGCTTCAGCTTGTGCGCGTGGTCTCGGACGAACTCCTTGAAGTCCTCACGCTTCTTATCGGGCGTTTCAGGGCCATCGAGGTCCGCGGTATTGCCTTCATCGATAATCGCAAATCGGGCATCGGAATGATGCGGGATGAACTTTCGCCCCAAAGGATCCAGTTCTCGCCAGTTGACGGCTTGGGTGCTGATGATCTCATCCCCTTTTCCTTTCCCTTTGGGGTCTCCTGTCGCATCAGCAGCACCTTCAATCTCCTCGTTCTCATCATCAGAGATGTACCCTGGCTCCCCTTTTATGGGGATGCCGTAGCAAGTCGTGAGGGTAACCTTGGCGAGGAGCGCCGATAGACTTTCACTATCGACACGCATGTACCGTTGGTACTTGCGCGTGTCTGTGATCTTGGCACGAAATTCATCCAGTGTGCCAAACTCGGTAGAAAGTCGAACGTGTCTCCTCATCTCCAGATTGGCATTCTGGAGCGGCAGATGGGTCAGTCGGATTTTCTCAAGCATGTCGTGATCGACAGTGTAACTGACCGTCCCCCCTGTGTAAAAGGGGGCGAGATACCCGCGACTCAAGCAAAGCCTGTACGCACGCTGGCAGTGAACCGACCATCGCGCATAGAAGCAAAGTGGCTTCTCCCGGCATGTGGCGAAGACTGCTCCGAAGTGCTTGACAATTGTAGCAGCACACGGGATTGACCGTGATTCGAAGAAATCTTCCACACCACATCGGCCTCTTTTCCTGTAATACCAGCCACAAGCCTCTCAATGGAGATATCCAAGCGAATGGCGCCCTGAATCGTTCCGCGCACACTCTTCTTGAACAGTTCCACTTCTTTCGGCGATGTATCAGCAGCGATACACTTAATCGGTGGCACCCCGAAGAACGCGGTCTGTCGATGATCCTCGGCGAGAGATCTGGACACCGGGAAGTTCCTCAGTTGCTTGATCGCAGCATACTCGTGAAGCGTGAAATCCGTAAGCTTGTTTCTCTCAATGAGCTCGTTAAGCCACGGAGCATGACTGCCGTAATATGCGACCTGAAAGGGATTCTCTGGATCGGCGTAGAACATCCCGTCAGGATAGTGAATCGGCTTTGTGCATGCATGGCACATGTGGAGACCAACCGGAAAGGCGGTTCCGCACATGGGGCAGTCAAAGCTGGCGACAGGCCACGTTTCTCGGTTGTGTTTGCCTCGCGCAGGGCCGGTGCCAAACTTCGGACCTCCGATGTATTTGAAGGCCGTGTTGAACACTAGCGATCCCGTGTCCATAAAGTATGCAATTGGCATGCAGGCGAGAGGGAAACTGTCTTTGATCGCATAGTAACCCCTCGGGTGAAAGGACACTGGATTGATACCTGCAGCAATCATGTGCAAGTCAATCGCGAACACAATCATGCGGTTAGATCCCATTCCTTCAGGGAGCAAGGAGTTCGATGCCGCTGTGTTCGACAGTGTCTCTCGCTTCGGGTTCATTCGGACATTCATGTATACCTCTTCCCACTCATTGTTCTTCCCAGATCCGGGAGCAAACGGGAGCAGGGTGAGGAACAGCTGTCCCTTCGGGGGCCCGACTTGGCAGTCGCTCATGTACCCGAAGAACTCGCGGATCGCTGCGCAGCCCCATCCGTGTTGGGGATGATGTCGGGACACGCTTCTTTTTCGCTCATTAGCGATGTAGAGCTCTTGCGCAAGCTGGATGAATGGCCCGTGCTGGGATTTGGTCAGCTGTCGGAAACGGTTGAAGGCATCGGGACCGAATCCGTACGCCGCACGGACCCCAACGAACTGAGGACTTCCATCACTGTTTATCGTGGAATAGAAGAACTCAAACATTCGATTGTTGTCCGTCCTAGCAATCTCCATGATGCATTGGAGCGTGAGCTCTGTCGGCTCGTCATTCTCATCCAGGATCTCGGTCTGGAGAAGAATTCGGCCACTGGTTTCGCCAGCATTGGCCTTCATGTACTCTCTCTCGCGCTCCATGTACATCGGAATGATGTTGAACGCGATGATCCCACTCGAATCGAGGAATGAGTACAGTGGAATGCCCCTCACACGGTCATCGGAACCCTTCTTCGATTGATCGGCAGTGGAAGGGTACTCCTTGGTCTGCGTGAGCACTCGAAACATCAGCTTACGCACCAGATTGGTCATCGCGCCTCATCTGGAATAGCCGCAGTGGGGATGTTCTGTGCATCATCAATAAGCAATCGGCTGCACGTGATCGACGTCCCACCGATAGAGCGAACTCGCTCTTCCCGGGCATTGTAAGCCCTGACAGCATCGTTGATGTCACGGCACATAGGTTTCCGGCCGGAGGAAAGAATCGTAATCCCCCTTCTCGGGCTTCTTGTGAAGTGCCTCATTCAAATACAGCGTCTGATTCGAGGATAGCATGGCGAATCGGCGCCTCGAATACTTACGCTGCTCGTCAGTCGGCGGGAGACAAGTCGCAGAGACCAGTCGTCCATGGACGGAATCATCGATGCCCATGTCGAGTCCCGGGACGACGAAGTCCGGTAGCGCCACCGGGACAGACGTCATCTCGTACTCCACGATCGGCGCAATGGATTCGAGACCTTTCTCGGGCAACTGGTCAGGGCGATGAATCGTAGTCGCCTTGATACCAGGGCCCTCGATCCGGCAGTTTCTCGGATCGTTTGCAGCCTGATCGGCCGCCGTGCTGGCTGGATCGATATCGACCACAGGCCCACGAGCCCCAGAGAGCACAGCTCCCTGAGCTGTCATATCAGTCGGATGACTGGAACGCACGCCGTGTTCCGGAGGGTTCTCGACGGTTCGGGCAGCCGGCGGCGGGGTCTTGCCGGGGACCTCGTCAGCTGGCTCCCTTCCATCACCCATCTTCTCATCCTCATCGGGCTTCTGATCGGTCGTATCATCCTTCATCTCATCATCGTCACCATCCTTCTTCGCAGTCTCCTCAGATGCCTTCGAAGACATGTCCGCAGTCGGCGGGGGAGGAGGATCCTCGGACGGTGGAGGAGGCGTCGTTGCTCGGTCCGACGCAATCCCGGTCGGCGCGTCAGACGGACGATCGCCGTCCGCCGCGCCATCGCCCTGGCTGCTCACGGCACCAGACGCATCACTGCGGCGCGATGAGGAGGCAGCAATAGATCGGGCATGCCTCCTGAACTCATCCGCGAGAAATCCTGCGGTGTTCTTCAGTTGCACCGCAATGCTGCGCTGAAACTGGGACAATCTATCGTCCCCAGTTCGGCCGGTGGTGCCGTAGCTCATATCATCGGTGAGTCCCATTAAGCTCTGCACTGGGTCTTCATCGGGCTTTCGGAATTGGGTCACCCGACGCTGCATAGTGTAGCCCGGTGGCAGCTTGAGGTCTTCTCTCGTCAGCCTCGCTGCAGTGTTGTTCACCAGGGCGACACGCATGGACTGAATAACCTTCCCAGGAGTAGGCGCAATGAGGTCCGGCCAATCATCAGGAGTCGGAGCCTCAAGGTCCTCTGGTTTGAACACCATTTGCTCGAAGGACATTGCGCCCATGCCACGGTGTCGGATAGCGATTTGCAACGATTGGTATGTGTTGAGCAATGATCGAGCCATACCATACGTCGAAGGGATGTGCGGATGGAACACAGGGAGGGTCGACATGCTCGCCAGCGCGGCATCAAGGTTGGAGATAATCGCACCAACCTTGGCTTCAAGTTCCCCCCTGTTTCCATACTCAGGAGTCCATCGTGCATCAATGGCCGACACAGTTTCACCCGTATCACGGTTGATGAGCACAGGCGTAAATCGATCGCTGGCCATCTCCCGGATGAGGGTGCTATTGGACTCAACCCGACGTCGTCGGTTCGTGACTGCGTCAAGCGCATAGTCACCCGGAGGGTACATGGAACCCTGGAACACGTTGTCATCGTTCATGTTCGGGTCCATGACCTTCGCGAGTCCATCGGCGATGGTTCGCAGGTGCTCAGCGCTCTCAACGCCGGTAGCGCCCTTCGCTTTCTCAGCGATATGCGCTTTCATCTGTGCGGCCTGTTCGCGACGCGCTTCGGCCTCGCTAACGTAGCTAGCGAAGTGCGCGTATTGCTGGCGACCCTCTGTCGATGGTCCTGTGGCTTCCTCACCACCCATCGGCTTCGGTCTGCTCTTCGTGCCGGAGAGGGGAAGCGACGGCACCGCAGGAGGGCGGGCAGCATCGCGATTGGCCGCAACAACCCTCTCTGCATCACGAGGAGTGGGCATGCGTTCGAACGCTTCGGCCATGCCTCCCATGATGTCCTCAAACAGATCGTCGGACTCTTCCTTTTCGGCTGCAGACATCGCTGTGTCGCCATCTCCGTCCCGCCGGTCGTCATCGGAATCGCTGCTGGAATCATCGTCACCAGCAGTCGGGGCGGGGGGAGGCGAAACAGGCATTGCCTGACCAGACACAGGAGTCGCTGGCAGCGTAATCGGGTCCGGGTGTCGGACACCCGGGAGATCCGCGAGGGTTCCCGCCTGTTGTTCGACGGTCTCCTTCTTGATCTGGATCTTGGGTGCGATCGTGCCGGTCGCGTCATCCTGCTCTTCATCGTCATCATCGAATCCAAGCTTGCCAAGATTGACGGTTCCCGCGGCGCCATGATCCGCACCACGATCCAATGTGTCAATCAGACCCTGAACCGACGAGTGAACAATGGCCTTCACCTCGCCTTTCGGCGTGTCCTCCGGAACGACGGTGCGTTCCCACATCTTAAGCGTGAACATCGAGCAGATCCGGGTGCACAGAGCCCCGATCGTTTTGGACTCGTGCATGACGTGATATCCCTTCAGGTACGGAAGCCCCTCCAGGATGGCGTCAAAGGACAGGGTAAGGAAGTTCGATCTCCTGACCGTGTCCCATATCGACCTCATCTCCACTCGATACCTCTCGAAGAGCGCATCGGGGAGAGTCGGGACATGTGCCATACTCGGTGACACCGGTCCGCACAGGGACACTGATCCGTAGATCGTGTTGAACTCCTCGAGAGCATCTCGGGCGTTCGTTTTGGCATAATCGTGCCATATCGATGTCGCCGGTGATCTTGTTCCAGCTTTGGTCCAGCTTCCACAGGTCCGCTCCTCTCCACAAGAGGAGGATGTGCACATTGGCCTTTGGGATGGTGGTTTCGCTCTTCATCAGCTCGATGGTCTCGATCATCTCCTTGAGCACGAAACCATCACCTTCACCAACTGCCTGCACACGCACATCGGGGTTCGGAAACCCGAACTTCACCAGCGCGTTCGTCAGGTGCGCATGCATTTCTCCGGAATGCCATCCTGCTTTGGACCTGAACGTCAGCAAACCATCGTGCATGACGACGAATCTCTGCCTCTCGCTGGGGACCGCCGGCAGTATCGTTGGCGGAACACCCCCGTACGCGATCGTAGAAGCCATCGTCGTGACGGTTCTGATGCCGTGGATCGCCACCGCCACAAGGGCATCAGGAGGACTCCACACGGGCTTGGCAACGATATCCGTGGTACCATCTTCATCGTACATGATACCCTTCTTGCTCTTGGCAGGCGTATAGCCGAAGTTGCCAACCACAGCACCAAAAGCCTGTCGGTAGTGCTGGCACCAGAGCTCCCATTCCTTGGACGGTCCGCCGGCGATCGTGATGAGCTTTGACGGTTTCGGCAGCCCTTGACTCCCCTGCTCACCCATGATAGGTGCTCGCATCTGAAAGAACGGGGCAAGCTCGATGCGGTAGCTTGAAGCTTGAAGCTCGGATTGCAAGCCATATCTGCCACCAACGGTGGCCATCTCGCTGTTCCCGTATCCATCAGGCGTCCATCGGTTCCGACGCAGCACAGATGGGTGAACAGTGATGCGCTCAGTCGGATCATCACCAGCCGTCGCGGCTTGATCCGCGGCTCCAGCGGTTTCAGGCTGCTTTGTCTCGGTAGGCTCCGCTGGTGCTTCGGTTCTGTCGCTTCGGATCACGAGGTCCGCAAACTCAACAGAGTTTGAGCCAAGGACGTTCCCCAGCAGCTTCAGGATGCGAGGGTCTATCGGACTCGCCTCCATCCACGGGTGCCAGGCCACGGGTGTCGCCCCGTCCGCACTGAGGAATCGGTGTCCGTGCACAACGTAGTGCGGGGAAGTGGACACTCCGTGCTCGCGGTCATCCAAGATTCGGAAAGGTCTGAACGCGATCCCGCATAACTCGAGGAACTTCGTTCCGACACGGATCTGCTTCCCTGATCCTCCCAGCCTCTTCTGGGTTCTGGTGTGACTATTCACCACAGTTCGGGATACACAGATCATGACCTGGAACCAGTAACCCACACCGATATACGTACCAGAAGCATAGCTGCCGGCAGCTTCGGTGGCGCTCCCTGTGACCCACACGCAAGGCTCGTGACTCCCATGATCGTCAGTCACATAATCCTCGCCGAACAAGCCTCCGTGTGCAAGAACTGACCAGAGGTATCGGAGATTCGTTCCATGGAAGAACGTATCCTGAGGATCATAGATGTCCGAATTCATCGAAAAGGGACATACGTCCACCCGTCAGTGGGGTGAACGACAGTTTGGCCAGCGCCATCCTCGTAGGTCATACTGGAGCTGGCCGCCCAGTTGAGCGTATCGTCGATGCTGACGCATCGGCCGGGGTAAGCCTCGACCAGGGCCTTCATGTAAGAGACCCATCCTCGCATCAACGGGGTGTTTTCATCGTCATCCTCGTTGCGGAAGGCAGACACCTCCCCGATTCCGTTCGCATCCACGGCAGGAAGATCGTCGCCGTGCTCTTTACGATCGCCCTCGAGGTGCATGGCCTGCTCCTTTAGAGAGTCGATCGTGGGGAATCGGTTAAGTGCCTTGAGAGCCAGGAATGATCCCGGGAGGAAGGTCATTGTAGGTCGGAGCTGCAAGCCCCTGAAGAACTTCGCAGCCTCGACCTGATTGACCGCATCCCTGGAACGCTGAAGGGGCGGCAGGTTGAGGAGATCATTGTGTTTGATGCTCGTATCAGTCCTCAACCACCGTTGCTCAGCGGTATTGCTGCTATACCCGATAAGGCCTCGGGCCTCGGTTCCAGCTCGCGAGAGGGGACGGGATGTAGCACTCACCCATAAGACGGAGCGTATCGTAGCTCAGCATCTCTCGGGTTCCCTTCAAGCTATTGCCTGAAAGTGCATGCAGTGACGCACCAGGGACATCACAAGGCCCATTTTCTCGCGGGCACCTGCGGCGTCGCCTGATAGCGTCGCTACTCGGGAGAAGGCGAGGGCGGACATGACCTTGTATCGATCAACCAGATCCATGTACTCGGATGGAAACTGCTTTCTCTGTTTGTCCGCGAGCGGATGGGTGGTGAAGAGGAACGAATCGATCAGCCTCTGAAGCTTCTGTTCAAAGCCAGGGTTGCACGTCAGCTGATCGAGCCGCTGCCAGATAGTGGCCTCTGGGATCTCTTGGACACCCATCTTCAGCATCATCGCTTTCACCTTGACCTCTATCGGGTCAGCGTCAGCTCCCCCTGCGCCCCCGGTAGACTCTCGGAGTCTGAATCGGAACCGGAGCGTCAGCGGCACCCATCTCAGAATCATCCTGCTCCGTAGGAATCGGTGGAACAGGCGGCCTTTCCGTAGCCGGCGCAATCGGACCGCTCGGAAGGCCTTCCCCACAGTTCGTAGGGGTCTTCGGCTGAGGAGATCGGGCAGCCGAGGGCTTGGCAGGCGCCTTCTTCGGTGGCTGCGGCTGCTTTGTTCTTTCCCATCGTCAGCGGCAGCAGCAGCACAAAGGAGTTCGCGGCCCGTGGCAGCTACAACCCGTCCTAGCAGGGAGCGCAAATGGGCTAGAGTTCGAGTCGTAGTAGAGGTGGTCTGTAATGGTCTGGTGTTCTCGGTGATCTATGATCATCGTCCTTAGAGCTCTATACGTCAGTCGCTGTGGAGTGTAAAAGTGCAAGTGTGAGCGTGTGTGTGAACATGGCCTTGGCGTCTTTGTTTAAGCTATCGGCATCGCGGATTGCTGTGAGCCAAAAACCGCAGAGTTCATAAAATGTTCGAGCACCGCCCACAACGCGAATCGAAGCTCATTCGGGTCGGCCCTCTTGACCTTCTTATGATTGCATGCAAATCGTGTCATGAAAACAGGCCCAAAACGGGCAGGCATGAAAATCTCACACATCCATGCATGCTGCGAACATCGACCAGAGGAGCACGAGCACAACTTGACAGGACAAAGTTCATGCGATTCGGACCACCGTCTTAGATACTCCCTTCCCCAAAGTGGGTTTCCCTTCGGTAGCACCAGGAATAGAGGAATCCCAGACGATCGGGCTGCGGAGGCGCATGCAAGTAGTTTCTTGGCCTCCCAACCTTTCTCCTTTAGATCGCCCCTCATTTCTTTCCAACCCCTGTTCTTGAAGCCAGTGTCACTCTTGTTCATAGCGCCAGCAATAGGAACAGTCACAACACATACCGCGGGCGTGGGAGGAACCCTGATGTTCGAAATAGCAATCCCCTTTGCATGATCATCGAGACTGAGATTGATACTTCGAGCATGAGGGAGTCTAATTGTACCCTCGCTCCCGATATGGATACATTTGATCGCTGCTCCAAATTCCAAATTGGTGAACATCGTCAATCGCGATACCCCCCTGACGAGACATATCGAGAATGAACTCATTGAAGGGACTGTGACCGGTTTCAAGATGTACCCCCCTGGTTGGACAAACAGAGGGGAGGGCAGGAAGAGCGGGAGCGGCAGAGAGCATGCCGGAGGAAATGAGAGTACCCTTGCGAAAATGACCAATAGACATGAGATTGCGGCCCCAGACCTTCGCATCAGTGCAAGCTTTAGTGAGGATATCACCAGCCTCAAACTGAGAGGGACACGTCACAAACATGAAATCTCCAGCGTGATAGCGTTCATTCAACGCCGAAATATCGATACGCTGGGTACGAGACATATGACGCATATTGGGGTTATGGCCAGTGATGATGACCCGAATAGCGGCCTCATTATCCTCCATAACCCGCAAGCGAAATCGACGGCCCAACATATACTCCCACATGGAAAGAGCAGGTAGGCCCAACTTATAAACGGCATGGTCAAGGGACACAATCTCGGCCTCGGGAGTAGACTTCGATACCGAAGTCTGCTTCTTGGACAATGCATTAAGGGGCATAAAACTACGAGGTCCAAGAAGACACATAAAGACACCGGAGGTACTCTTGGAATCAGTGCGGTCACCCGCAAGATCAGCATCGCAGTAGAGCACAAGCTCCAGCATCTCGGGCGCATCACCAATCCAACCATACAGGTTGAGATCGAGGGTCGAATTGATGTAACACACCAGTCGATGAAGCTTCTTATCGCATAAGCCATCCCATTTAGTGATGAGACTGGCAAGTGCTTGCACAGGACGAATAAGATCGTAGCGTCCCATGCGAGCGCCATATAGAATTTTCATCAGAACAGCGGCTGCGCAGTCGCCCAGGACGCCCTTGCCGGGAGGCACAGGCGCATCTGGAGGACGACCCAAGAGGCGGTTCACGGCGGGTCGATCCGGGTTAACATCGAATTCCGGTCTCGACTCATCGAGGAAAGTGCGTATCCGCCGTGCGCAGCGTAGCCTTATATTTGGGACCACAGAGCTCTACATAGCGAGCAACACACTGCTCCATGAATGATCGCATATCGTACTTGATCATTCGGATTTCACGAGGGCCAGTCGAACCCTGCGCGACGCTAGTGTCTCGATCGCCGAAGGTGAGCTCAGGAAAAGCCTTCTTGGGCTCCTCAAAGTGCGTCCAGTAGTAGCGCGGATCAAAAACACTAGAGACAACATGCGAGAAGGTAACATGTTCGCATCCCAGGTATCGTTTGATGCTCGAGGGCGGCTCTAACTTGATCTTGGAGGCCATGAGCTCCCACCCTTTGGCCAAGTTGGCCTTCGGTCCACTGAGCTTGACATCGTCAACGTAGACCACGAGCATGAGATTTAATTTGGGATGGCGAAATACACTCTTCCAGTCAGGGCATTGCTCAAAGCCAACGGACCGAAGAGCCTTTTCGCAGTGTTGTTCCCAGAAGCCACCGGCATCCGGATGCCCGTATAGGGCCAGCACAAGTCGGACGACCGGGTCGTGGTACTTGCCGTGCCACTCGGGCAACCAGCGATCCTTGGGTAATCGCACCCAAGTGGCAGGGCCACCAAGCTTAGCTTGAGTATAGGCGGATTCGCCATCGGCAACCTGAATTTCATGACCAGGCAGAAGGCCGAAAGCATCGGCGGCCTTACCAGCCTCCATGGTCGCTGGGCATGATGTGATCTCGGAGAATATAGCCCAATTGTTGCCTTCATCTTTAACATGACAGCCCTCAAACACGACACGACCCTTGAATTTGCGATTGGGATCGGATTCCGGCAGCCGGAGTTGTTTCCCACGCATATGTCGAAAATACGACCAACATGGGCCGTTTCACCTTTAGCCATGGCCTCGTTGGACACATCGCGAGGCATAATCCCAGCAGCCCTGATTAATGAGCTTGTTCCACTCCTTATCCAGGGCGGCTTTAGCCTTGGGATTAGCGGCGCGTTCTTTTCGATCAACGGGCCGTGCGACACACGCACTGTAGAAGAACACCGACGAATCGGGCGATCGATGTGACTGCGACGAACCACGTATGGGCATCGCAGGCGCAGCATCAGCTGTGAGACCGCTATCGGACGGCTCAACCGGGGCGGAAATACTTGTGTTATCCTCCTCAGTAAATTCAAATTCAACCGCGGCCAACACGGAAGTGCAAAATTGAACCACCGCAACATCCTGGCCGGATTCAATAACGATATCGGTGTCGGTAGGATTGAGGACGTCAACACCCGATTGTGTCGCTCCCTCATTGTATGTATACATGGCCGGACACACATCAAGGCCACTTCCTCGGAGGGGCTGAAGGCGGGCGGACATACCAGTCGGAGGATCAAATTCAAGATCAGTAACGACACAAGCGCGGGATTTGGCAGGAACGGTAGTACGCTCCTTCGCTCGCAGCGCATGACCATAGAAGCCGTTGGCAGTCTGCACACGACGCTCGCCACCATCCTTACTCGGCAGGCTGGTGCGAACTCTTACCTGTGTTTTGGCAGACGACCCAATGACGAAGATGGTCTTTCCCGTCCACCGGCATGGCAGAGAGCGCGAATCAGATGCTCTCCAGGAATCTTGTATTGTAAACTCCGTGCCATCCGTCATAGTCATAGTTACCCGAACATCGGTCAGCGTCGCCGGGTCAACCGGACAGTCCTTGACTGATGTTGGATGAAATCGCGCTCGGCGTTCAATCACATGGAATCGAGTGATCGTGCCAGCAGCGACATCGTGATACCAGTAATCTTTGTCATGCCGTTCAGCACTCGACTCATAATCCGAATCAAAAGCAATGTCGACTGGAGCGGCATCGCGAGAGTCCTCGCGCGACATCGCATGAGACTCGGCCTCTCGGCGCTCAGCCTCAACGTAGCCTTCCCGCTCGGCACGATTCATGCTTCTCCAAGATTCGGAATCGATCGAGTTTGGTTTGCGAGACCCTTTGTAAGATCGCTCGGCACGTGGCACACTCTGGCGATACGGTAGACCCCCCTCGCCCTCCAGGATCTCATACCCATGATAAGGAGGCAACTTCTTCTTAGGTGGGGCGTAGCCGTCATCAAAGAACTCAACAGTGCCAGTCCAGAGCTGCATAAGTCTCGTCTTGCCGAAGGCATACCCGGTTTCATATATCGTCACCGGGCTTTTATCCTTGTACTTTACATGCGATATGCGCACAGTGCTCAGCTTCCACGGATCAGGCGACTCGCCAACAGATCCGGGAGTCTTACTGGGATGAACCATTGCCTTTCTCGGGATCACGACGTTGTACGTCCATTTATGAGCGGATGGATTATACTCCCAGTGGTCGACACCTCCTCCGTGAGAGGACTCCGCTCGCAACTCGGCCTCGCGAGCCTTTCGAATATCTCCGTCGGTCATTCGATTCTGCTCGTCGAGGGCAAATATTCCGTCGATATCTTCGAGTTCGAGCATATCGGAGGCGTCGAGACGCTCACTCGGCCTTGGCACAGTAGACTGCATCGCAGGATCGTTGATACATACTGAACGGGTTTGTTTATCGTACACCGCCAGCATTGGAAACGTCCATCTTTCTTTGGGTGAGCAATACACTTTCTTGACCTGATGGACGCTCACTCGTAATGCATCGCGCTTGAAATCCTCAAGATCCGCGACAACATAATCACCGTCCCACTTGCCCCCGTTCTCGAAGTGGTATCCCAGGAAGATACCAGGTTTACTCGTCGGAGAGAACTTACTAGGGCGTTGGTAAGACGACAATCGCTGATCAACATCTGTGCCAGGAGGAGGACCGGAGTGATCACCACCTCCATCATCGATCCATTCGAGATATCCATCATCATCGAAACCGACCTCTACGTCAATCATTCCGTCGTCGCCAGGTGCAGGTAGAGCGTACTCTTCACCGTCACCGAGTACGACTTCATCTCTTTGACTCCGCCGGGTCTGCTTTCGTGCCGGCGTAGGATAGAAGTCAACAAGGCATCCAAATGGAAGGATTTGACCGTCAAATTCGGCCCCGTCAAATCGTTGCGCATAAGCGCTCTGTCCCTCGCGTATCTCAATGTTGCGAGCGTGGCAGAAGTGCTTACATGTGTATGGCCAGAATTTGGCACTCAAACCCGCTTGTCGCAGC